CTTTATTTCAGTCAGTGTATGCTTAATTTCTAGTTGGTCCTTTTTCATGTCCTGCATGGTCTCATTATACTTAATGAGGGACTCATTAAATTTATCGGAGGCTTCTAGAAAATTCTTGAAAAACCTTATAAACGTGGCCTTGAACTCTATATTCAATCGTTTGCTTTCCTCTATTTCTGCCATTCGTGACCTGTTTCTCTGTCTCCGCATTTTGGCAGCTTCCCTGTGTTGATAGAGAGGCTTTGTGTGGTAGGTGTCCTGTAGGGCCCAGTGGCTCAGCCTCCCCAGTTACCTGAGGTGGAGGCTCTTGGTGCACCCCCTTGTGGGCTTTGTGCACAGTCTTGTTGTAGCTATGCGTTGGTTGTTGTAGGATCACTGGGAGGAATTGACCTCCCGGCCAATTGGCAGTGAGAATCAGCTGTCTGCAGTGGGAGAACTTCTGTGCTGGAGACACCCTTCTGGGGCAATACTTGCTTCAGTGGGGCTTTGGTGCTCACTGAGTCTGCCCCCTTAGTGTGTCCCTTGTGGATCTGAGGAGTTGTAATTAGATGCCACTCTGACCACTGGGTACACTGGCTCTTGGATCTAAGGAGGTGCTAATCTAGCCTCTGCCTGAGGCTACCCAGCAGAAGTCAGCTGTAAAGCAATGCAAGTTGCCGAGGGGCCTTGGGCCAGCAGCAGTTTGTTAAGTAATTTTCAGATTACAAAGGGCTGGGCCTTTCATATGCAAAAGTCTCCATGAACGGCTTGGGCGGGGGGGGGTCCGGGTGGGGTCCCAGGGGATCAACAGGGCAGGCTACATGAGCAGTATGGCTGCTCTCATTCCTGCCCTCAGAGCCCTGGCAATAGCTGCGAGCGCCTCTGAGAGAAAGCTGCCCTTGAGTTCCAACCCATGCCAGACAGTCCAGTTTCTCCCACGTATGAGTCTGGTCCCCAGAGACTCGCCTGGAACTAGAGTTCAGAGCCGGGAGCTTGAGACTCCCTCCTGATTGAAAAAGACAACCGTGTCTTCAGCCGCCAGCCCTCTCCGCATATGCCTCCGCACCTTTGTATTTCACTTCCGCACCGCACCTCCTCTGAGTCTCGGTATGCTTTTCTCTTTCCTTCTAGTTGTAGAATTTCCACTCAGCCAGCCTTCCTGTGGTTCTGGATGATGTCCGTTCCATCTTTTAGTTGTATTTTTGAAGTTGTTGTGCGAGACAGCAATCTCTGCTGTTTACCTATGCCGCCATCTTGGTTTCTCCCTTTCCCACTTTTAATCTACTTTATTTCTGCTACCTTCAAAGGCATGCTTCATTCACTTAACAGATATTTCTGAATGCCTACTATGTGCCAGGAACTGGGATGTAGAACAGTAAAAATAACGGCTGTTATTTTATAATAAGGTATATAGAAATTTTATAATTAATCTAATATCTAATGGGGAGAAGTTCCCCTCTCTAATGCCACCAACTTGTTCTTTTTAAAAATTGTTTTTCATTATTCTTGACTCTTTACTCTTTCATAAAACTTTAATCATCTGGTCAAATTTGTTTGTTTTTAAGTGCCTTTGGGACTTTGATTGGATTTAATTTATAGATTAATTTGAACATTGACTTTTTATTCTTTATTGATTAAGGTATTAAATATGTGTCCTTATCTCCCTATTGCCCCCCCATACTCCTCCTACTCATGCCCTCAACCCCCTGTTATCTGTGTCCATTGGTTAGGCTTGTATGCATGTATACAAGTCCTTTGGTTGATCTCTCCCCCTTACCCCCACCCTCCTGTTTAAAATTTGACATGTTTCTCTTTTTTTCTTTGAGTTTATTCTTTTGTTCTTTTTTGGATGTAAAATGTTGGTCTTCTAACTCATTACATTTCAGACCTTTATCCTAAAAAATGAGTTAAGGCTCTGCAATTGGTCTCTGGGTACCACGTTAGCTGTGGTTTGTAAGAACTGTATGCATGGCATAAATTTTCATTACAGTTTAAGTTTAAATTTTTTTCTATTATTATTCTCTTTTACCACCTAGCTCAGTTTGTCTCATATTGGTTTTTGACAATGATGAGCTTGCTTTTTAGCCGGGTATGTGATCAATTTTAATAAAACTTCCAAATAGTTAAGAGGAATTTGTATTCAAGTTATTTTGGGGGATAGGGTTCTCTATATGTCCAAAACAAGGCTTGATAACTGCTGAAATCAAATCTTCTGTATACTTACCAAATTTTTATCTACCTGATTTCTCAACTATGCAAATATTTATCTTA